ACACACACACACTCACACACACACTCACACCCCTTTGTATTCAACAATCAAGACACAAATTTGCCAGGAGATAAGGAAGAGGATGGGGGCTACACAATGGTTACAAGATGAAGGAAGGAAAGAAGTCTTCATTGTTAGCTGTGTGCGGGGCACTGAAAGGGCTTTCCAATTATTATCTCATTCGAGATTCACAACAACCCTGGGAGACGGGTTGAGGAAACTGAGGCAGACAGAGGTGAAATGACTTGACCACATGGCCAGGAAGTGCCTGAGGTCAACTGAGCTCAGGTCTTTCTGACTCTGGGTCCAGCACCTAGCTGTCTCTAAAGACAAAGGAGGCAAAGCCTAGGGCTCCTGGGATGGAGTCAGCTTCCTGAACAGCTGGGTGAGAGGGCCAATAGGAAAGAGGCTGTATTTCCACTGAGGAACAAAGATCACCTCTGTCTAATGGGTCAATGCTCTGGCTCCAAGCTGATAAGAGGAATCGGGTTTTTTGGGGGAATCTCCTGGACAACTCTGGAAGAGGAGGGAGGAGTGAATTCTGAGAAGCTGCCTGCCCTAGCCAGACCAGCCCAAAGAGGGGCAGCCTTAGTTTGTGCTACAAGATACCGCCCACTCTGCGACTTCAGGTGCCTGTCTGGACTTGACAGCTGAGGGGGCTGAGGCAGGCTGAACACGGACAATGAGGCTGGCTGAAATGGCCCATGAGACTGGCTTTTTCAGCACAGTGAATCTTTCTTCAGAGCCCAAAATCAAGGGTATTGGGAGAAGAGGCTAGGGCTAAACAAAGGGGAAAAGATGAAGGCCAAATCTGATGGCTTTCGCCGCCAGGCTCCTCAGGCTCAGACCACTCCGACCCCGCCCTCGGGGCCAGGGAGCTGAATCACAATGACATGGAAGAGTGGGGTGCCTTGGGCCAACGGAAGAGCTGACCACAGAGCTCTGAGGCATGGAAGCCCAAACTGTCCTTTGGCATGACTGGGTCCTGAGGAAGGAGGGCAAGATGAGTAAGGGCCCTGGTTCTGAGCAGCCACAGAGTCTGCTTCTTGGCCTCTGGCACCTCCCACTAAGGACCAAGCTGGAGCACAAAATGCAGTCCATCCCTCTGGATTTTTGAGGAACCCATACAATTCTGGATCAAGTTCAGGGCTTGAAGAGGCTGTGTTGCAGAGGGAAAGTGGGTTGGTTGTTCAGTATTCCATGCAAAGGAGAGCGATCCAAAATATAACAATACTTACCAATCTTGTACCACAGGAATTAAATTAAGAAATCTGACTAGTAAATTTTCAATTTGAAGAAAAAAGCTGAGAAGACAGTACTAATGTCTTTAAAATAATGGTGGGTGTGGAAAGAAGGAAAAAAAAACTACATTTATTCTTTGAACCCTTAGGACATTAGAGCTGGGGGATCCCCCAAAGAGGCAGCACGGTGGAGTGGGAGGAATGCTGTCAGGAGAGACGTGGCTTCAATAATTACTAGGGCTGTGACGATGGGAAAGTCCTTCAACCTCTCTGTGAACCTGTTCACTCATTTGTAAAATGGGAGGAACAATCCTTTCACTCTCTACCTCTGAAGGTTTTCATGAGGAAAGCATTTGGTAACCCTTCAAGTGTTAGTAAAATGTGAATATCAGAAGGATCAGATCACCAGACTTGGGAATATGTAACTGCTCCCTAGCTGGGATGAGCTGCTCAGCAGACAAGGCCAAAGAGATCCCGGGTATACTCAGGGACATTGGGTTGTGAAGATCAAATTGAGATGAGTCACCCCAGTATCACAGGTGGCTGGTTTTATGGGGCCTCAAGGGTCCTCCTGCCTGGCCATGACAGTGGCGGTCTCCCTTAAGACCTCTCTGAAGGGATGCTCAGGCTGTGGGGCTGGAGTGGAACCTCCCTCAGCCAAAATCTAGACAGACAGATAAGAGACACTAGTGGCTGAGCCAGGGCCCCCTACCATCAGTCCATGCTTCATGGATGGAGGCTTTCTGCCCAAACTTCTCCGCCAGGTGATCCAGACGCTCCAGCCGCCGAATTACATTGAGCAGCCACTCTTCAAAGCCCTTCTCTGCCTGCTCCAGATGCTGCCAAGAATTGTTGATGTCCTAGAAATCAAAGCACAGAGAGAGATTATTTAGAGTCACCAAGTGAATGAAAGCTCGCTGGTATGCCCACAGAGAAAAAGGACAGGGATAGTGTCCCAAAGACTATTCTCTCCTCAACAGCGGGATGAGAGATTTGGGTTAAGAAACCAACCTGAGCCAACTAAGTCAGGAAATAAATTTGTTCTAGTCAAAGAACGGCAAGCAGGCCATCAATCCTGTGCTTCACGACATGTGACGAGCCCCTTCTATTACCCAGGGGCTCCTGTGGAAGAGCTCTAAGGTCAATCCTTGGGATCAAATGATTTAGAGGTAGAAGGGACCTTAAAATTGGAAATTATCTAGTCTGCCTTCTCATGTGATTAATGAGGCAACATGGGCCCAGAGAGGGGAAGTCACCTGACCAAGTCTATGTGAGCACCCCCAGATGGATTTAGCTTCCAATTTTCAAATCCCAGGCTCTTTCCCAAACACCCATTTACTCTCACTTCCAAAGAAGATAGTGATGGTGAAAGGCCACCCAGCCTGATCAGTCACTTACTGACACCATCTTGCCCTCTGAGGGCATGAAGGCAGGGCGGTTACTCAGCCGGAGTTTGGTCTGCAGAGTGTTGAAATTGATCTCCAGCTGGCATTTCTCCTGCACTTTGGGTGGTTTGTGCACCCTCCGGTAGTCACGGAAGTCCTCAAGCTTCTGCTGCATCTCTTGGATGGTCTTCTGAGGCACACGATCTTCTAGCCAAGGAATGGTACGTCGGATCCACACCAGCAGCTGTGAAGTCAGGGAAGGCCAGAGTTGCACTGGTGAGGAGGCTTTTACTGGACTTTCACTAGTATCACACACACACACACACACACACACACACACACACACACACACACACACACACAGAGCAAATGTTGATAGCATACAAGTCTCAGGAAGAAGAAAGGCTGGAATCTGAAAGTTGAGGGGCTGATTTTCTAACAGGACTTCAATTCACAAAGGGGATGGTTTTCAGAGGACAACAGTATGGTATCCCTTCACACGTAATGAGAGTTATGAGTCACTCTTTATGTGCTCAAAATAAGCACACACACACACATTTGCACTGGCCTAAAAAGAAGTGGCTCTAAAGGAGATAGGATTACAACCAAGAATCACCTACCCAGCAAAACTGAGCATAATCCTTCAGGGTAAAAAATGGACATTCAGTGAAATAGAGGACTTTCAAGCATTCTTGATAAAAAGACCAGAGCTGAACAGAAAATTTGACTTTCAGATACAAGACTCAAGAGAAACATGAAGAGGTAAACAGGAAAGAGAAATCATAAGAGACATATTAAGGCTGAACTGTTTACATTCGCATGGAAAGATGATATTTGTAACTCATGAGTCCTTTGTCAGTATTAGAGTAGTTCGAGGGAAAAAATTATATGTATGAATGTATATATATAGACAGATAAATAGAGGGTACAGGGTGAGTTGAAGATGAAGGGGTGATATCTGGAGAATAAAATTAAGGGGTGAGAGAGGATTATACTGGAAGAAGAAGAAAGGGAGAGGTAGAATGGGGTAAATTATCTCACATGAAACAGACAAGAAAAGGCTTTTACAGTGGAGGGGAAACAGGGAGAAGGTGAGAGGGAATGAGTGAATCTTATTCTCATCGGATCTGGCTTAAGGAGAGAATAACATACACACTCAATTGGGTATGGAAATCTATCTTACCCTACAGGAAAAGAGAAAGGAAGGCGACAAGAGAGCAGGATACAGGAGAGAGCAGATTGGGGCAGGGGGTAATCAGAAGCAGACATTTCTAGAGAGGGACAGGGTCAAAAGAGAGAATAGAATAAATAGGGGGCGGGATAGGATGAAGGGAAATATACCTAGTTTTTCACATGATGACTATGGAAGTGTTTGGCATGACTGCACATGTATGACCTGTATTGAGTTGCTTGCCTTCTCAATGAGGAACGAGGAAGGGAGAAAATTTGGAACCCAAAATTTTAAAAACAAAAGATAAAAATTTGTTTTCACATGCAACTGGGAAATAAGATATACAGGAAATGGGATACAGAAATCTATCCTGCCCTACAGGAAAATTGAAGGGGAAGGGGATAAGAGAAGTGGGGGAGAGATAGAAGGGAGGGCAGATTAGGAGTATTCAGAATGCATGCCATTTTGGGGTGGGGGGAGGGACGAGATGGGGAGAAAATCTGGAACTCAAAATCTTATGGAAATGAATGTTGAAAACTAAAAATAAATAAACAAATTTTTAAAAATATATAGAGAATTTAAAAAAAAAAAAAGTGGCTTTTGCCCAGAGCAGACTTACATCACTAGCCAGCTTCTCATAATCCTCCATCAGGTGCTCATTCTCTTGATTGACGGCCAGCACCTTGCAGATCCTGTTAGCAGCTGTCTCAGCCTAGTGGAGTAGGAAGAGAGCACAGACACAGTCAGGGCCATGTGAGACACCTCCCCAGCCCCTTTGTGAAGTTGCTGAGCCAGGTCCCAACTGCCCCCTCCCACCCCCGACCCCTCCTACCCTGCAGAACAGGGGGAAGGAAAGGAAGCAAGTCAGTCCCAAGCAAGATTAAGTCCTAAAGAACTCACAGTGCTGCCAGAGTTCACTGGCACCTGTGTCCCCATGGTGCTCTCCTAAGGAAGTCTCCTAGGCTGCCCAATTCTCCAAGATGGAGTCCAGCCTCAACATTGTTGGCTACTGTTATGCTAAGTCAGGAAAAGATGTCCAAACACTAGAGCTAGACAACAGCCCCTAGCTAAAAGTCCTACTGCCCATCTGGATAGGCTCAGCACTTCTGGGGCTGACAGCTCCACAAAGTTTCAACCTCTATATTTTTCTTTTTAATAAATAAATTCAACTGCAACCTGGCAGGCTCCTTCAGTATTAAGAGGAGGTCAGGAAAGGTTAGGTAGGGTCTATTTCTCCAAGGGGAGCCAGGTCGCCAAGAGACGTATATGGCTATCTAAGAGCTTCTGATGTGGCTCAGCCTGTAGTGTCTCCTTTCAGTGCCCTGGCTGGGTGGGCAGCCCATATGATGCCTAGGGAAAGTGTCTGAATGCACAGTACAAGAGCTGTTCCCCTTTCCATCACACAGCCTCTGTATTTTTCCAGCAGAATGTGCTTCCTATGGGAAACACCAGGAAGCATAATTATCCTCAGGGATGAAGGGGTACACAAAGGCACAGAGATTAAGGAGACTGAATTCAGGGTTGCCACCTCAATGTCGGGGATGAATATAGCAGCATGTTGAAAAAATTGGCCCAGGGCCACTGCCCTGGCCTCCTGTCCTTTTGCTCGCACTAGGACCAGAGCTGCTTTCTTCAAAAGATCACAAAATCTGGGCCAAAGAAGTTAAGGAAGGTGAGGGAAACCACACAGAAAGGAAAGTGGAGAGAACAGGTACCTTTCAGGAAGCACAGAAAGGATCCAAGAGGAGGACTTGAAAGCCAGACAGCAACAGAAATAGTGAGGAGGGTCTACAGAAGGATGGGGAAGGAAAACAGAAAAGGCTAGGGAGGTGAGCTACCAAGGGCCTCCATAATCACGAACTCTAATACGGAAATCAGTGGCTTGTGCTAAGTGCCCTCCCCAGGCCCCACCCTCACAAACTCAGCTAGCCTCCCAGTCCAGCCAAAAGGGAGCCTGAAGCAAGAATTGGTGGGGGGTGTGCATGCCCACGTATGCACACTATCACACACACTCATACTGAGGCGCACTGGCACATGCTGCAGGATGCTAACAGAAGCCAGAGTGCCATGCGAGGGGTGCAGTGTATAAGCCAATGCAGAAAAACTCCCCAAAGAGAATGTAAGGGGAAGCACCAACACAATGACGTCTTGGCTGGGGCGGAGGGAAGAATGTTAGTCCTTAACCTTTGTGCAAGAGAGGTCAACCAAAGTATGTGAAGATGACGAGCTCTGCACTTCCTGTTCCATGACCTCTCCCTTTTTTCAGCTGTCTGTCATTCCCTATCCAACAAGATTCTCAACAACATCTACAGAGCTAAATGGATGCTGAAAGGAGACATCTTAGTGACTGGAGACAACAGGACAGGTGTGATGCCCCACTCCCTGCAGAAAGCCCTCCCAACTCTGCAGGCACCTCCCCCCGTGACAGATAACCAGGCAGGGCTGGGTAGAGGGACAAGGGATATGGGAGAGCTAGCTCTTCACCAGAAAGGGCTGAGGGTATCTACACTGCGGCAACACAATCCCATTTCTCCCAAACACAGAAGAATAAAACATGGGAAACACAGGCCTACTAATGCCAGGGGGCAGCGTGGTAGTCCCCATCATCTCCGGCCGGCGCATCATGGCTTTGTGGCTCCCAGTCTCCACTTGGGCAGCCCACAACTCCAAAGTTCCCTCTGAAGTGGGCCAGCTAGAAAACCTCTGGACTTCCTTTATGACTCTCCATCCCAAAGGAAGAGGCTTGCAGAGAAGTTGGAATGGTAACCCCACAGTGAGGATTAAACAGCACAGTTTCTTTGGCAGGTCACATAGTACTGAAATGACACCTGTCTCCTCACTCATTTCAGCCTTCCAACAACCTAGCTGCCCTTCCCCAAAGTCCACTTCCAATAACCAAACCTAAGCAAAACCACAGATCCCAGGCCATCACAAGAGCCTTGTCAAGTAGGAGGCCTTCAGACGACCGAGGGGAAGAAATCAATACCATTCTAAGCTTTCCACAGAGCCCTGAACTGACTCAAAAAGCTGGCTCTTCATCCATCATAACAAAGACAAAAGAGTCAAGAGGAGTCCAGGCTCCCCTCATTTTGGGTTGATCTGTATGGACTGCAGTGGTACCTCTCTGAGCTTCTGGTGTTCAGAGGAGGCCATGACTGATAAGGAGACCAACACCTCAACCAAGACAGCTGGGATTCAGTGAACCCCTGGCCTCAGCTATTCCTGCCCCTTGGCTCCATCACAGAAACTGTGGAGCCAGGAGAGCCAAAACAGGCCCAGCACTTTTGTGTCTTCTCTGCCTCCACAAGAATCGGGGGGAAGGGAAGCAGCGGAAGCCCATGATAAAATGAATTGGTATTTTTAATTGAATTACTAATTCCTCCATGGTCTTTTTAGGGCACTATGGGTTTAGAATGCTGTGAGCTAAGTAGAGAGCTAAACCAAGGAGGAGTATGAGGCTACAGTGGGCAGCACCTTTCCAAAACTGTGAGTTGGCAGAAAATAGAACACAGTGAAAAGTTGCTACTCACAGGTCATCTAGAGCCCTAGGGCTCTGCCCTTTGACAGCTAACAATGCTAACAGCTCACATCTTGGGCATGATGGAAGTGATGGGAGAGGGCTCAATAATTGTCGGAGGGGGAGATCCCTGGGGTGAAATAAATGCTCACCGGGGAAGAATATCCTTCAATACAATACTTACTCTGTTACAATCTTAAGATGTCTAGGGCAAACAGACCTTTCCTGCCACACCAGGGAGGGAGGTTGGGATCAGCTGGAGTATCTCTTGGTGCCCCGTCAGTCAGGATCCTGGGCTAAGCAAAGGCATTATTTCCCTCCAAAGCCAGCCCAGGAATCCTTCAGAAGAAAAGTGACAAGAGTGCCTGCCTGCTCACCCTGCAGTGCCCTCTTTACTGCTCCGGATGGGAGCAGAAAACACAGAGTCAGGCACAAGCCAGAGTGGCCTCTTGGTACAATGTATACATGGTAAACGCTCTTACTGGAAATTTCTCACAGGGCACAGCACCTTGCTGCAGCATCAAGGGCTCCCCCACCCGAAGCTCACCTTTTGAGCCCCCGAGAAAGCGTGGTAGAAGCAGGACACGTATGTCATGATGGCCTTCTCATCGGGCCTCAGAGTGCCCACAATATCTGCGCAGAGAGAGAGAGAAAGGCAGGAGAGAGTGAAAAGTGCAGGGGCAGCAGCTGGAGCCAGGGCCCTGGGCTCATGCAGGAGAAGAAAAGAAGCATTCGCTCTGGACTGGAAACCAAACCCCAGCTTGGCTATAAGATTTTGGTATGTGTGTGTCTGGGTGCTCGTCCTGTCTCCACAAACTGGTTCCCCAAATTTAGGGGTTGTGCAGGTGGGAAAAAGAGCTTTAAAAAAGGTAGGTTCCATTTGTAACCACACCTTTCGATGCTGGAAATTTGCCTGGGTGATGGCATGGGAGAAGGAGACAGGGCTAAGGTGGGACTGGACCGGCCCAAGACTGAATGCCCACAATTGTTTTCTGTGCCCAGTGATGCAGTGCGACTGGCTCTGCTGGGGAAAACACACAGATGGGTACCAAGGGGAAGGGGAATGGCTTCCAGTCGGCAAGAGGCCACTGCCATCTGCAAGAGAAACAAGGTGAGCATGGAGGGCTGCAGGGGCAGAGGGACAGCGAGGCAGGCCCAGCCCTCTTCGCCGGGTACCTTCTGCGCTCCTGAAAAGGCATGGTAGAAGCTGGACACATAGGTCATAATGGCCTTCTCATCAGGACGGGCTGTGTTCACGATGTCTGAAAGTGAACAACAACGGTTAAAGCAACCTGTTCACTGGAGTGGGGTGGAAGGGAAGGAGAAGAGGGCAGAGGGTGCCATGTTCAAGGACATCCCAGGAAAGCAGTCGGCTACTGCCGCCTAAGAGACAACATTAGGGTAATGGAAGCACTCTGGGGTCCTCCCCCAGTGCTGCCACTAAGCAGCTGTGCTCCTTCCCCTCCTCCGGACTTCAGACGAATCCTCTGTGAAAGACGGGACCAAACGAGACAATCTCTATGGCCTGACATTCCCTACGCACTCTCCCAGTGGTACAGTATTTAGGAAGCTCCTAAGATTACACAGAAAAAAAGACCCGGGCAAGAAGGGTTGCTTGCAAGGCCCATTTCTCAGGAAGAACAGGACCATTAGATCAGGCATGATCACTCTGTACACGGAACAGGGCTGCTCCAGAGGAAGCACTCTCCTTTCAGGAAAGCTCCCAGAGTTTTGTGGTTGTGGAATTGTTTCAGTTGCGTCCAACGTTATGTGGCCCCAGCCAGTCCATGGGGTTTTCTTGGCAAAGATCCTGGAGTGATTTGCCATTTCCTTCTCCAGCTCATTTTACAAATGAGGAAACTGAGGCAAAAAAGGTTAAGTGGCTTGCCCAGGGTCACCCAGCTAGGAAGTGTCTGAGGCTGGATCTGAACTCAGCAAGATGAGTTTTCCTGACTCCAGGTCTGACGCTTTATCTACTGTGGTCACCTAGCTGCCCCTGCCAGAGTTAGGGAATTAGGAAATTCCCAAGGCCAAATTCTGCCCAGGGGAAAAAACAGGACCCACCTCTGCTGGCTCTAGACTCCATAAAGCAGTAAGAACAAATGACTGATGGCCTTCTGCCTTGAGGAAGGCTTTCCTTGAACTTCTGGCCGATACGGACAGAAGGGTGAGACAAGCATCTTGCTGTGTTGTTGTTCAGTCAAGTCTGACTCTTCATGACCTCATTTTGGGGTTCTCTTGGCAGAGATACTGGGGTGGTTTGCCATTTCCTTCTCCAGCTCATTTTACAGATGAGGAAACTGAGGCAAACAGGGTTAAGTGACTTGCCCAGGATCACATAGCTAGTGAGTGTCTTGAGGCTGGATTTGAAGGCAGGAAGATGAGTCTTCCTCTATTCACTGAGCCACCTGGCCACACCTAGCATCTTGCTAGAAACTAATTAAATAAAAAGTCCTCTGTGCGAATCCAGCCCACCCTTCAGAAATCAAGTCCTACCTTCTCTGACTACCCTGTCCTACACAGATTTTTCTCCTTTCTCTGACACCTTTTTAACACTACTGTCTAGACTACAGGTTTCAAAAATCAGCTTGCAAAACTCCCAGGGTACAAGCCAGATTAAAATGTGCCTGGGAAATGTGTAACAAAGTGAAAATCCAGAGATGATAGTGATTTGTGGTTTCCTAAGCCCACATGCAGCCAGCCTGCAGGGTCCATTTCTGTCTGAGTTTGACACCAGGAAATGGGATATGACATGGTCAGGTACTCATCTGTCTCACGTGTGCTCGCTCATTTTGTTTTACTTTAGAATGAGAATCTAAGCACCCGGAAGAAAGGGGCACAAGGCAGGCCCTCAGCACAGACCTGCTGCACCAACATCTAGGGAATGAAAGGCCAGTAATCCAGTGCTTACCCTCGGCATCCAACATCTTGGGGATATCGAGGTACTTCTCAGCGACTTCAAAGGCATTGTTCAGGTTTGTGACAGGGTCATCCTGGAGGGAAGACAAGAGGGTTAGCAGTCTACTAGGGGCTGGTGGATGTCTAGAGAGCAAAGAGACAGGGAAAAGAGGGCTCCACTTCTGCTGGGACCTACTGCAAGTGTTTACTTTCAACATCCTGTGTAAGCCATAAGCAATCACTAATGCTGGCAGAAGAGGGGAAAGACTGCACAGATCAGGCTATAGCTAATCTCAAAGGCTCATCTTAGGTTTGGCCGTAGGGAAAATGAGGCACCAGTGAGGAATCCAAATGATGGCTTCTCCACATGGCTGCCAGATTCATTTTCCTAAATCTTCACAGCACACATTAGTTCCTCCTTGCTGTCCCACCATTTCCCTGCAAGAGTTCTCCAAGTCAAAGGCCAAAGTTCTAACGGAAAGTGATCAAGGCCTTCCACAACCTGTCCCCATTGACTTCCCTTCCCTTCCCCACGTGACCTCTTTGGCTCCAGCCAATTGCAATTCTTCATGCTCCTTTCAACATAACACCCATGGCTCCTGCCTCCAAGATTTTATAAATTGTGCCTAGCCCCAATTCCATGTAGAGGCCTCCAGCGCAGGTCCAGGCTTCCTCTGGGCACCCTTTGCCAACTGCCCTCGCCATCAGTACCTTCATCACTCTTTATATTCTTATAACCCTGACTTTGCCTGCTGTCTGCCCTGGTCTGGATAGTGTCCCAGCATCTCACATAGGAAGTAGCACATAAGAAGGGATGAGAAAATGTCCATGGATGGATTAGAGAAATGTCCCTTCTAGCTGAGCGGGGTCATCAGAGAGCAGACAATGGCCGGGCTTACCTGACCCTCGATAGTCTTAGGCTAGTTACAGGGCCCGGGTTTAAAGGAATAACAAGGAGGCCTCAGGATTGCAAGAATGAATTGACAGTGTCAACAATGGAGCCAGTGGGAGGATTTGCTTTCAGCACTGCCCTACAGAGTCTCAGCAGTGCTGTGTGGTTTACACAAGGCAGGCAAATGGGCCTGAGAGACCTACCTTCCGCAGCTTGTCATACTCTATCAGCTCTGGCCGATGCCTGTGGATCAGGGCATTGAAAGCGAGACCATCCTTCCAGCTGAGAAAAAAAACACATGTGAGTTTCCTTCTCTCTGTCGTTTTAGGAACAGATTTTACTAAAAGCCTCACACCCAGTGACTAGTTCTGAGAAGAGTAATAGGAGAGACACAGGATGAAGAGCTGGAAGGGCCCTTAAAGATAATCTAGTCCAATTTCCTAATTTTACAGATTAGGAAACCAAGACACAGAGAGGTAAGCAACTTTACCAAGGTCACACAGGGAGTAAAATAGCCAAGTCAGGAGTTAAACTCAAGTCTTCTGAATACAAGGCCATTACTGCTCTTTCCACTGTCCCAAGGTTCAGTTAACTACTTTCTTCAACTGTTCATTTGGTCAGCATTTTATAAAACTGGCACAATGGATAAAGGGTAAGATGGGGAGTAGGATGACCTGAGTTCAAATTCTGTCTTGGAGGCTTACTAGCTGTACAGGCGCTGGTTAAGTCACTTAACTTCTGTGTCTCAGTTTTGTCATCTGTAAAATGGGAATAAAAATAGCAACTACCGTACAGGATTGTCATGAAGATCAGATGAACTGACATGTGTAAAGTGCTTTTGCACACCATTAAATGCCAACTAAGATGTTAGTGACAATTAAATTTTACTGAGGACCCTGATGGTTTACATGGCTTGTACAAATTGACTTCTTAGAGAATTCTCTCATCTGTTGATCACGATCTTCAGAAATAGGGATTGGGGCCACACCTCGAGGACGGACAGTCAGGGTAATGCCTGGAGGCGGGGAGACACTGGATGAAGAAGCAATGAGTAGCACAAATAGCCCTGGGTTTAGAGCCACAGACTCTACAATCCCAGCTCCACTACCTGCAACTTCTGGCTGACCTTGGGAGTCACTGAAGCTCTCTGGGACTGCATTAGCTGGTGTCCAATTTCCAGCTCTAAAAATCTCCATTAATCCTATAACCTTTCACAGTTTTACTCTCACAAAGACTGTTTTTAAGGAAGATGAAGGTGAATCATATGAGGCTTCAATAACAGGAACAACATTATTTCAGAAACGTGAGCTGACAACCTATCTTGTCTGGGTTTAATGCACGCTTAATGAAAGGCACCCCCTTCAGATACAACTTTTTCTGGGGGCTGCCAGCTTTCTGACGTTACAGTGAGCCAGGAGCACCCAAGGCAGAATTCTCACGAACCCAGCAGGAAGCAGAGTGTCCTGGGCCAGGGCCCCAGGTGCTTACCTGATGTGGAAGTTCTGCACGTTGACATTCTTGTATGGCGCAGTCTTTCTCTGACACCAGAGAAGGAGACCCTCCTTGGCAGAGGTCTCTGTGAGACAGACAAAAACAGTGTAAATGAATGCCAGAGTGTTTCCCCGCAGGTACAATGTCCATCCCTGAGGAGCATCTGCCACAGGACACCAAATGCAATAATGACAGCAACAACTTTCCAGAGAGTTCCACGTCAATGGCCTTGTTCCCTCTCTTGGAGGCCACAGACTCAGCCATTCACTCCCTTCTCCAGCCTCCTTTCTTAACCTCTCATTCCATTTTAGGCACTGGTCCCATGGGCCTAACCAACTTCCTCTTTCAGGGACAACTTACTTCAAAATCACGTCCTACAGAAAACTAGAACCTCAAACTCCTCTACCTGATCATAATCTTTTCTCATTCCCATTCCTCTGCCTTATGATCCCTAACCCTGTTCTCCAGCCTCACTGTGGCCTCCTCTTTCTCAGTCCTTCAGGTCTTTCCTAGGCCATCACCTCCAGACTGCTACACTCACCTCCCTTCTCTAGTCTGAATCCTTGGTGAACCAACTCTCCACCATCACTAATCCCTGGCTGCTCTCCCATCCCCATCTCCAAACTACAGCTGATAATCCTCTGCCAATTCCTAGTCCTGGGTTATTCCTATCATCTACTTTCTTCACTCCTATTCACAAGAGGCTGAATGGAGCTGGAGGAAATCATGAAAACATGTTGACTGGGCACTCACTGCAGCAAGGCAAATATTCTATTCCTCTCTAACTGGTTTGTTATCCCACTCCCTACAGTTCCTGTCCCAATTCTTCTCATCTCTCCTCCGCTAACCCTCTCGCTGAGAGCTCTCGACTTTCCCTATCACTCAGACATCTCCTTTGCTCCCATTTCCAATGAAGAAGTGGCCACCTCCCCTCTCTGCATGCACACTGAAGGCCATTAGCTCATCATGTCTTGTTCTGTGGTCTACACTCTATCATCACTCCCCGCCTGTTTACCCCATGGCTCAGCCAATTTTAAAAACCTCCGCTTGGAAAATGCAGGAGAACCACTGAACCTTGGAGCTCCCCTTCTTCAGAGCTGACCAAACTGCTTTCCTCTCCCGCTGCACTCTGGCTTCCAACCTTATCAATGAATTCAAGCTGCCCTCACCCAAGCTAGCAATCATCTTTTTATCATCTTACTAATCAACCTTTTCTCAAGGCTGAGCTTTTTGGCCCTGCCGACAACCTCCTCTCTTCTTTGGGCTCTCATGATGCTGCTCTATCAGGCCTCGCCTCAGAATCCATGCTACATCTGTTCACAGTGGGTATGCCTCTGCCAGGGTTCTGCCCAGAGCCCCCTTCTCTTTCTGGTCAGTACTCTCTCCCTTACTATTCTCGCCAATTCCCATGAGCTTAATAATCACCTCAATGCAGATGATTCTCCAGCCTCAGGCTCTCTGCTGAGCAAGTCACGTCTCCAGCTGCCTCTTGTACCCCTCAAACCGGATGTCTCTACGGCTCAAAATTAATTCATTAATCTTTCCTTTCAACCCCCCCCTTCTTTTGGACTTCCTTATTACTTACCCAAGGCTCCACTGAGTAGGGCTCATAATCTCCGCTGTCATCCTTGACTCCTCATTCACACTCACTACACTGATCCAATGTGCTGCCAAATCTGGTTGTTTTTACCTTCACCACATCTCTCATACAAGTGTCTATTTCTCCTCTGATACAACACAGCTGTCACTGCTGCCGGCTGTCGCTTACAGCATTCCGATGGCCTTAAATCTTCCCAATCCCAAACATCGTCCACTTGGCTGCCAGGGCCTGACTGTGTTGCCAACTCTAACCAATAACCTTCAGTAGCTCCCCATCACCTTCAGCATCCAATATAAGCTTGTCTCTCATGTAAAACTCCTCACAACCTGGCCTCTTCTTTTTCTAGTCTCCACGCCCTTTAGACCCCTCATACAAGCTATGGGCTAGCTAGAGCAGCCTCCTTGGAGTCACACAGAACACACCACCTCCCAAATTCACGAATTTGCACCAACGGTTTCACAGGCATGGCATACTCTGTCCCTCATCTCTACTTCCTAGCTTTCTCCAAGACTCAGGTCAAATTCCACCTTTTGTCAAAGCCGTTCCTGGTCTGCCAAGCTACAGGAAATGTCTTCCTTTTCATATTACCTTCATTCATACTGTATATATTGTGGGGGTGGATATTTACATGTTTTCTCTCCCAACTAAAATACACACTTCCTAAAGGGTAGCATTTTTTTTGTATCCCCAGCCTATATATAGCACAGTGCCTTGAAGATAATAAGCTTAAAACAGGTCCCAAAAGAATATTTTCTTGCTCTTCATAGAAAGAGTATGATGTATTCTGATAAAATGAACTACCCCACCCCCACCCCCACCAAATGATAGTACAAAAGACATAAAAATTAAAACTCTTCAGGTGATGGGGAAGAAAAATTAAAGTAAATTATATTTTCTAAGGGAAACCCCCCCCCAGATTTTACTTTTAATTTTCAGTATCTGAGAGGCCTAGGAAGTCCGAGAAAATATAATTTGGCACCCAAAAGTGAATTATCCCCTAAATTTTTAATAAAAAGTATGATAAAATATCAAGTCTTTGACCTTCTACTGGCAGATGTTGTTGCTGAAATGTATATTCTTGATGACAAAGGTTAAACGGACAAAGGTACAAAATAAACTTTTGTTGACTCTGTGCCCCTTGCACCTCAAGCATGAGTGATAACACTTTTATATTGGAAAGGATCAAAGACTGACAGCTGACCAGATGTCATCTAGTCCATCCTTCTGTTTCAGATATTAGGAAACTGAGTCAGCGGAATGGAGGGAGATTTGAACTAAGCTTTGTGACTCTAAACCTAGTGCTCATTCCTCCATAAAAGTTGAATTCTTCTCTCATATCCCTTAGTGCATAAACCTAAGTCTTCCCAGCCATTCCAAGAGAAGGAAAGTATGTAAAAACTGCTGGATGTCCTTTGAGCTGAAGCAACAAGAAGGGGGGAACCTCTTCAGAAAGAAAAGCTTGCTTCACTAAGTTGCCAGCACACTATCTGGAAGCTCTGAAGTCAGTGAAGACAAATGAGGATTTCTGCCCCAGCAGACAGGCTCCCACATGCTGAACTGCCCGGTTCTGTAGACTGAGTGTATAAAATTCTCTGGGGATAGAAAATGAAATTGTAGGTCTATGCTGGCTAAAGAAAAGACTAGACAATACACATTTAGGGCTTGTGAAGGAAAGTGAGTCACCCTTACTCAAAATCTCAGAGATCTGGATACATAAAAAAACCAAAGTCCCACATTTGGAAAAATTCAGCTGAACCGAGGAAAAAGGAGCTACTGCATAAGGGACTATTTTTCTTTCCTAATCAGGTGCCCCACTGAGTTATGCTGGGTGTGATATCTCTTTTTTCTCATCATCTATCACACAAACCTAGGCAGCCTGGAATGTGATCCTGCAGGTAGAGGTGAGGCAAAGGAAAACAACTGTCTATGCTGCTTCACATCCAAAACAAAGGAGGAAGTGACAGCAGCACTCTGAGAAGTCAAGACCAGCGGTTTCTGTTCTGGAGTCACCTTGGCCATGTTACCCTCATCTATCTGGGGCTCAGAATTCCCATCTGCCAACCTCCTATGAGTATATCCAATGAGCTAAAGGATGTCCAAGGGCCTTTGGAATAAGATCAGCCAAGTATGGAAGGCTGAAGAAAGACACTCATGATGGGGTGATGAGGATTTATCCAAGACTATGTACCAAAGATGCTAGATGCTACACTTGAGAAAAGGGGCAATTCCCAACAAGATACCATACTGAAATATGCCCAGAGGAATGCAATTTGAACAGACTAGCAAGATATTAGGATGTCTCCCAGGGGAGTTAGCAAAGAAGGGGTGGGCAGCTAACTCAGCAGCCAGTTAGCTCTTACCTTCCACTGAGATGTCCTGGATGGCAAATCGAAGAATAATGGTCCAAATCATTCCCAATGTCATCTTTGCATTGCCATCCACAATCTCTGAAAATAGCACACAAAGAATCCTCAAAGTTACAAAGGTTTCAAAAAGAGTACAATTCGCCAACCTGACCCCACTCGAAGTAATATGGCGCCTCTCATCTGTCATCAGAGAGGGGGTGAACATATAACTGTAGATAGAGGTGTGTATTTTCAGACTTGGCCAGGGTGACAGTATGTTTTGTATGACTTATTTACTTCAAGGAAGGGTTCTGTGGGAGAAGGAGCAGTCACTGGAAAGTAACAGCTATATATTTTTTAAAAGACCATCAGTATTTTTTTAAAAGTCAGTACTCTCAAAGTGGTGAAAGCCATTTACTATAAAGGTAACTTTGACTTTGATAGTTTGAGTGATGCCTAACTCCCTCTCCACAGGCAATGTTGTCAGCACTCCAGAACGCAAACTCACTAAGGCTTCTCATCTCATGATTCTTGTTTTGATCCAGTGTGGACCAGATGCCTCCCTTTGGCCCAGCTCATTTTGGTAGCTCAGATACCATCCCACTGCTTAGCTGGGCCAACAGAACTTCTCCAGATGCCTTTTCTTCTAAGTCTTCTCAAAGTCACCTGTTTTCCTACCAGGCTAGCCTCTTAGTTCTAAGAGCAGGAGCTTACCATGGGCTGGGGGTGGGAGGTGGGAGGCAGCACCAAATGGAGAAGCAGACATTTTTAGGTTGAGTTTTTCCTCAAAATGAAAACTGACAATTGCTTCAAAGCTGGTTTGCCCAAAACATCTCCTCTCCCTCTTCCAATCCCATCTCTATGTACAGACTAGAATTATAGCAAAATAAATGCTGCCATTAGAAGCAAAATGTTAGAGTCAGGCCAGAAAGAGAGAAGCACTCAAGGACATCAAATCTTAGGATCTGATCTTTTTTTTTTTAAACTTACACCCCCACCCCTCATCCTGCAAACAACTTGACTGCCAGAACATAGACTTGGCATTCCTCGAAGAAACACCTCACAGTGATACTTGGAACAACACAAATAAACTGTGTTGGCATTTGGGCCAAATTCCTTAATCCAGTCATTAACAACAATTAGTTTTCTTTGTTTTTCTAAAAGCTGGGACAACATGGATATCCCAGGAAAGAAAAGATGCATTGACTAATGACTAAAACTGCTAGCTGTGTTGGATTCCAAGCCGCTGGTCCCAATCTGCCTTCACCTCCTCTCTAAAGCGCCTGTGAGTTCTGTCATCTGTGGCTTCATACATATCTGGTCACTGGACTGAGGGAATATTCACTCCATGGTTCCCCCCGCCCCCTTTCAAGTATGGTGGCTTGAGGAAAGAGGTTGGAGGTCAGATATTCTCCTCATCCACTAAGGACAGGAGGGCAGAAAACGGACCTAAACGGAAGCATGAGGTATCCAGGATCTATCCAGACAGTTTCTTAGTGCTCAAAGAACTATGGATGTGGAGATTCACACAAAGGCTAGGAGCTGGAAGAGCCAGTGCAACAGTATGATTAAGTGTGGCCTCTTCTGAAGTCCCTCAATGAAATGAGGACACAGTCAATCTATCCTGTGCACTGGGGTCAGGTCTAATAATTTGCCTCTGTGCCCAGGAACAAGAATCTGCTATTCCCTGAACCCAAGGGAGTTTGTCATTTGCATCTGTAAGAAATAAATGAATAACAGCCAACAAAGGGTGAAAACCAATCTGGATGTGTGTCTATAAGTGTTCTTTGATGATAGCATTATTTTCCTAGTATAGAATTCATAGTTTCAGGATTCTCTCCCTACCAAACCACCCTGTGCCACATTGAGTTTCTTGGCCTAACCCTCATTCCCAAAAGTTTCTTTCTTGTACGAGGGCTATCGGGGCTTACAAAGACAATGGGATCATTTCCAAAATGTGGCAACGTTCTCTCTGTACCCATGCTGGCTGACTCACAAATGCAGACTTTTGATTAAAAAGACTGGGTGTAAGGCTATATCATCACCATACTGCTAGAAAAACCATCTAAAGGGCATCTTCTACTGATGTGGTTAGGAAGGCCATTGTTTCCTTCCTTCAGAATTAATCTGAAAATGCTCATTCATTTTCCCTTTTACTACATAAAACGGATTTGCTCTAATAGGAAAGCAAATAACATAAGGCTTCATAAGAAGAAAAATCAATTTAATCTAAGTTAAATCAAGAAAATGTTTTACAACATTGTGGAATGTTTATGAAACCCCTGGCTTTACAAAATGACATGGCAATATCAGTCATCCTTCTTCCTGACATGGTGATGCTACCACATAAGGCCTCATACCCAGTTTGAAATGTCAGGTTCAAAAACTAAAGACCAAGCTGGCCCCTGATCCTAGAGACACCATCCTCAACTCACCTTCTGCTCCTATGGAGACCAGCTTGACACCTTTGCTTGCAATGAAGTCCAGGGCTTTGTTCACATTGTTAATTTTGTGCACTCTCATTTTCCCTCGCTCTGGTTTAGGTAGCCGTTCCCCTGCAGACAGGGAGGGAGAGAACAGAAAAGTCTTCAAGTTCCTCAATCCACTTCATAAATATGTTGCCAGTTATTTCCCCTGCCCAAAGCACTTAAAACTCCCCCATCCCAGGATAATACCCAGAGCTGACAGATAGACACCTCAACCAACATTACTACAGTAGTTAGGCAATTTCACTCTTCTCTACAGCAACCATTTTCTGGAGTAGTTTCTACAGTTTTTCTGACAACACCGCTATACATCTGTTACACATCTTACCTGAAATAACCTCTAACAGAAGCATGAGTTTGAGCCCATCCCTAAAATCCTCATCGATGTTCTCGATCTGGGTGCCAGCTTTCCGCAAGTGAGAGTTACACCATGCTGTGAAGGTCTAGAAACCCAAAAACACTGGATTAGGGTACAGTATGTTTATTTACAATCACGTTCCCAAATAGTCTTCTTCTTTAAGTGGACCCATTTACCTTCCACCAGACAGACCAGGGCCAGCTATGGCTCCTAACCAAGCAACGAGGACAGTGCTGTGTCCCAACATGTGGTCTTCAGCACCAAAGTCCTCATCATAAAGCCTAGCCTGCTTGTCTGCCCGCCCATCCAGATATGCATGGTAAAGACAGACAAAAGTAAGCCCCTACACAGCATCCTGAATGCTAGAGCTAGAGGAACCCTATCATATGGAACACAGAACTAATGTCAGAGCAGGAATGCTCTTTAAAGTCTATCTACTCTAACTTCCTCATTTTATAGTTGAAGCTAAGAAAGATGAAGGGATGAAATATGATACTGAAAAGAGTATGGGACTTGGAGGCAAAAGAAATGCAACTGAACCCTGGCTCTGCTTTTTAGTACCTATGTGACCTCTGCTTATAAGTCATATAACCTCTCTGGGCCTCAGCTTCTTCACTGATAAAATTAAAGGGCTGCCCAGGGAAAAGGTTAAAAGGAATTGCACTCTTTCATCCCTGTACAAAATTGTGAAGAGTTTCACTGGTGGGCAGCGGTGCTTTTGGGCTAGAGAGGCTGACCCTGTTCACCAGCAATAAATGGTACATGCTGATACCTGCGTCTCATTCACTGATCCTACTGCATATCCTCTTGGGCTTTCATCAGCTGATTATATGATCCACTCTGCCCAAATCACAACCATAACTGCAGGGTTTCCAACTGCCCTAATCTAAGAATAGCGCCTCACATTTCTACCACACTTCAGGGCTTAAAAAGTGTTTTCTTCAAAACAATATTGTGTGGTATACAGTAAAAGATGATTATCTACATTTTGAAACTGAGGCACAGGGAAGCAAAGTGATTTCCCCAAATGTGCAGATTGTGAAATGAAACTAGTCCTACATCACATTGCAGATCTTAAAGGTCCCATAAGAGGTAGACAGACATGCTCAAGAAGAAGGAGCAAAAGATTTCTGTCCCAATGGATTGACAGTATAAGACATAGCTCCATTTCTGGAGTGCTCCCCCTTTCTGATACTTAAAGAGGTAATAAGTAGGGAATAAAAATAAAATATAAACAGGACCCCCCCCCCCCCAACAGAGATAGCCATGGCATAAATAAAAGGGGGGTGTATAATCAGTACAGTTTCTAGTTGGGACATATTACAAGACATTGTCAATGAAAAAGAAGAAGGTGCTATTTTTCTTTTCACACAAGTGTGTCTAAACCTCTTGGGGAAAATGCCATCTATGCTCATTCTCACTGAAGTGATCTTGGGGAAAGGACACAATCGCAGGCTAATCTCGTGACTTTCTCCAATTGCAGCGGCTGGCACTAAGACTGGCACGAGGCCAACTCAAAGTACCAAGTGGCTTCCCAGTCCAAGCCTGTAACCAGCCAGATAAGCTAGCAGAGGGGCCACACAGAGAAGAGAGAGCCAGAGTTCTTTCCATAGAGGCTGCAGCCAAATACCATTTGTTTTGACAACTGTTACCGGCTACGCTCATTCACAAAGAGATACAACACAACAAACCCTCCTAGACAGAGTAGCCACTTAATGAATACTTGGTCCTACAGAGAATGAATGGCTACACCAAGAGATTTCAGAGTTCTAACAACATGTGCCAACTCTGACATCAGAAGTAGAGTATTGGGATGTGGAGGGTAGCAATGAAGGACTATGGAAGAAATGCTGGGGGGGGAGAAAGACTGGGAAAGCCAGGCTGTGGCTCTTTTGCAGATTATCAGATTTTAGAGTGGGAAGGCACCTGAGATCACCTAGTCAAAACTTATTATACATAAGAAGAAATGGAGGCTCAGAGATCAGTTATATGACTTGCTCCAGCTCACATGGTTATTAGGTGGCAGAGCCAGTGCTCAAAACCAGGTTTCTCTCCTGACTGTACAGTGGTGAAGGAGGGAAGGATTTCTATGTCAATTAACAAAAATTTATTAAGCACCTACTGTGTGCAGGCATTTGTGCTAATTGCTGGGGATACAAAAAGAGGCAAAAGACAGTCTCTGCCCTTGAGGAGCTAACAATCTAATGGGGGAGACAAAAATGTACAAAATGTATACAGGATCTAGTGCCTCTAGTGAGCAGGCACTAGAATTCAAAGGGTTGGAAATGGCTTCCTGTAAAAGGCAGCATTTTAGTTGGGACTTAAGGGAAGCCAGGAAACAGAGATGAGAGCCAAGGGGGAGTGCATTCTAGGCACCTGGGCCAGCCAGAGAGAATGCCTAGAGCAGAGAGAAGGCATTTCTTGTTTGTGGAACAACCAGGAGGGCAGTGTATGTAATAAACTAGAAAGGTGGGAGGGGGCTAGGTTATTAAGGGCTTTGAAAATCAGAGGATTTTGTATTTGATGCTGGCAGTAAAGGGGGTCAATGGAGTTACCACTGGAGGATGGAGAGAAGTGGGGAGAGCCTTGTTGACACAGTTCAGGGGTAAGGTGATGAGAACCTGCACCAGGAGGATTGGCAGAGTCAGAGGAGAGAAGGGGGCATATTGGAGATGTTGCAAAAGTGAATCTGAAAGGCCTGGGGAGGGGATGGGGGAGGAAGAGGCCGGGGAGTGAGAAGTAAAGGATGACGACTAGGTTGTAAGCCTGTAGGAGTAGGAGGATGGTATTACCCTCAATGGTAATAGGGAGGGTCAGTTGTGTGGCAGGCACTATGTTAAGCACTTTACAATAATCTTGGGACTGAGGTGCTATTGTTCTCTGTTTTACACTTGAGGTCAATGAGGCAGGAAGAAGTTAAGTGACCTGCCCAGGGTCAAACTCAGTATGAGGTTGAATTTAAACTCAAGTCTTCCTGACTCCTGGCCCAGTGCTCTATCCATTGCACCACTTTGCTGCGGCTAGTTCAAATCTGCTCTGCCAGGAAAAAACCCAGAAGACCAGGTCTTCTCTATGCCCCGATGCTAGAAACTAGGCTCAGGAGCACTCAACTCCTGTAGAGGAACAGATATCATTCTGGAAGTGAAAACATGTCTGACTATATCTGGCCCTCTAACATACCGAGTCTGTGACAGTAGGGCTTGAACTAGGGTGATAATAAATGAAGGTGGTAGGGTGATCACTGTCTATTCCTGCTCGGCATCTGTACAAAGTCTAACATGGATTTCAGATTTGAATAAAACTTGTTTCCCCTTCCATTCAACCTGTATCCACTCTGCTTTAGCCAGGCCAAACTCACTGCTTCCCAAACAATTAGACAGGTTGGTGTTGTTCTTCCTCTGTCCATTCCAGTAACTCTCCTCTCTTTCCAGCCAAAGCTCACCTATGCTTCCAGGCTGAGCTCACCTCCCCCAAGAAGCCCTCCCTACTAGAGCCAGTCATTTTACCCCCTCGTGAACAGCCCCTACAGGCCACAACTTGCTGTTGGCACTTGTTCACTTGTATTTTTTAAGCTGGACCTGTGATTTCATCAGTGATGGGAGTGCCAAGTAGTAAGTTTTTCTACACTGATGCAGATTCTACACTTCTCTTGGGAAGCCGGGAGGCTAAGTTACTAGCCTAGGGTCACACAGCCAGTCTATACCAGAAGTATGATGTGAATCAAAATTTTCTAGACTCTAAAGCACTATATCATGCTATTGTCTCCACAGTCTTATAAACAACTTCACAAGGCACAGGTAGAAGCAGTTCATCTGCAAAAGGTTTTGTGGCTTCTGCTAACAGCACAGTGGCAGTCAGAAAGGCCATTTCATTCTTGGGCTGTATACAGAGAGGCCCCTGGGGCCAGGGGTTGGCCTTCCTGGCCTAGTCAGACCACAGATGAACTGTGGTCACTTCCGGGCAACAACATATTTTGCTGAGGATACTGATAAGCTGGAGTCTAGAGGGGCAACTGGAAGGATCCGGAGTTCATGCCTGAAGTTACTAAGGATGTCTAGCATGGAGAAAAAAAGACTGCCCAGCTGGGCTCTACAGGGAAGAGCTAAGAGCAATGAGCAGAACTGCTGCTACACAGCTCCCTTACCCCCCAATAAATTCTAACTTGCTATAAGGGAAAGCTTCCTAAATGATGAGAACTCTGCTAGTGGCCCGAGTTACCTCAGAGGATGGTAGCCTTTTCCTTAGTAGAGGTTTTAAAGCAAAGTCTGGAGGATATTGGAGACATGGTAGAAAGGATTCTTTCTTTTTTCTTTTTTTTTTAAACTATTTTGCTTGACCATGTCTATTTGTTTTTTGTTTTGTTTTGTTTTTGTTAGGCAATGCGGTTAAGCTGACTTGCCCAGGTCACACAGCTAGTAGTCGTCAAGTATGTAAGGCTGGCTTTGAACTCAGGTCTTCCTGACTCCAGGGTTGGTGCTCGATCCACTGCTGTCACCTAGCTGCCCTGAAAGAATTCTTTCTTGTGCAGGTACATTTGGACTGGGTGGTCTGTGAGGTCCATGCTAATAAGTCCAAGATTCCACATATGGAAAATGACTTATAACTTCAATGTCCCCTTCCTGGCACCTCAGCCTGGCACTGAGCATACAAAGAGTTACCTCAGTAGAAGCTGGCTGATAGCCTAGATGATGCTTTAAATGGAGACCCCTTCAGTGAGGCCTCATAGTGATATGGTGAGGCCTCATCGTGATATGGTGAGGCCTCTGGGTAATCCAAGATGTTGCCAGCGGAGCACAAGCCCAGGCAGATCCTACAGCCCTCGAGGACAGATTGACAGTATATGCATTTCATCCAAAGACTAAGTGCAGACAGACAGGCTCGTTACCAGAAGGTTGGTCACTAAGTGATGGGGGTCTTTGGCCACAGAAACTCATGAAAACCATCTATAAAGGCAAGGAGTGGCTGGCTCTGCCTCGGTAGAAAAGGAATACGTGCTGACAAACTCCTGGATCCTTTGAAGTAGTAAAAGTACATCGGAAAAATACCAAAAGATGGATGGTGACTGACCTGGCTAATAACTAAGGC